TTTTGTTTTAATTAAAATACCAAAAAGACGTTTACAAATACTGATTCTCTGCACAGGGCTTAATTCCCTAAGTGCCTAATGACTGCTGGTTTCTGGTTGTCACTTCAACCACTCTGATTTCTAGGCCTTTTCACCCTGGCCAGTGCTTTTCATGGGTGTGTCGGGTGTGGATTTATCTTACAGGCCGTCCCAGGGATTAGTGAAGAAAAATACAAAGTCTCCTCAACCAGTGAATGATGATCACATTCGTGAAACTAAGAACGCGGTGATTCGAGACTTGGGGAAAAAAATAAATTTCAGTGATGTCAGACCAAACCAGCAGGTAAGATTGTTGGATTCAGAAGGTTTATTGAAATTTTATTGTAAGGAATATAATTTTGCTTGATTCAGTGCTCGGATACTCAGGTAACCTCAGTGAGGCTGATGTTGCAGCTCAGATGGTAGAGCACAGACTAACCAAAGAAATCTGCCTGTGTGGATCTGCAGTTCTTAATTCTCCCAGTAGCTAACTCAGTTTACTTGTTTACATGTATTTACCTAGAATAGGATATATTAAAGAAGAGAGTAAACAATCTATTGTGCATCCCAGCAATCCTCAGCTCAGTTTACAATCTAAAGTTTTTTGAGACAGGTCTCACTCTGTCACCCAGGCTGGGGTGCAGTGGTACGATCATGGCTCACTGCAACCTTGACCTCCCGGGCTCAAGCGATCCTCTTGCCTTAGCCCACACTGAGACTACCTTACCCCACTGTAACTGAGACTACCTTACCCCACTGTAGCTGAGACTACAGGCCCAGCTAATTTTCTAATTTTTTTAAAGAGACAGGGGTCTTGCCATGTTGCCCAGCCTTGTCTCAAACTCCTGGGCTCAAGCAATCCTGCCTTGGCCTTCCAAAGTGCTGGGATTACAGGCGTAAGACACCACACCCAGCCTATGATCTAGACTTTAAGGAACTCTGGGGTTCTAAGTTGTCTAATCTTCAATCTAATGTGCTTAAAAGTTTGGTCACCAGTACCTCTCAATCCTTATATTAGGTTGAATCATGTGAAATAGCCATTAGACAATTTCCTGTGGTTCAACCTGTACAACTCTTTGCTTTCTAGTAAATGCTTACACCAAAGGAAAGAGAGGAAAGCCACCTGCGAGCATCATTCAAACAAAAGAGAGATAGACTGAACATGTTCTGATTTGAGGCATTTATTTTTGCTTTTGAGAATCAAATGGTTATTTTTAATGCAGGTTTACATTTTAATAATCTAACTCTTGGTTTATTTCCCAAGATGGGAACTGACAAAAATACAACAAAATTTCCGTCAATACAATATGCCAAATATTGTGGAATTTGTGAACTCCTAGAAACAAAGTTCCCGATTTCCCGGAGCACATGCTGTTTTCCTTAGTGTTTCTGTCTCTTACTTCCAGTGCAGCCATGGATATACAGTAATTTGCAATTGTGTTATATATTAAGCAACTTATACTGAGTGGATTCTTTTGAAAATGTGGTGCTTAAAACCTTTTAAAAATTCACTTAAAATTATTAAGGGGAATATTTAAACTTGCCATAACTGAGTATACTTTTCATTGATTATTTCACCAAATTTCATCTATTTCTGGGAGGCAAATACCAACGCCACCTATTCTTCTCTTCCACCTTCTAGACAGAGAAACCAAGGCACAGGCTCAATAGTGCAACTGGAACTAGAGCTGTGGTTTCCAGGATACTCTCACATTTTCCCTGAAATGCTGCAGCGTTTTCAGTTTTATGAGAACAGTTACCTTCCAGCCCTATAAATGTTGCTCTATCTAATGCAGATTTATTTTCCTATAATACTGTCACCACACTTGTGGTTGTTAATCCTTCTAAGTCATTGTAATCATAGCTGTATTCAGCCTATGTCTTTTACAACTGGGAAAGCGAGCAATTAGAGCCTTGTAAAAACAATGCTAGCTCAGTACATACGCTGTTTGAATTTACTTTTATAGTTACTCTGTAGGTAGATCCAGGATACCCCATTGCCCAATTCAGGGGAAAGAAGGGTTTTTCTCTTAGTTACCTGACATGTGTAAACATGAAATTCCACAAGTTGAGTGCCATAAATCCAGTGGAAATCTCTCTTAAACCTCCATCATGAATTAACTTCTGGACTAATCGCAGGAACTAGAAAAGTCTCTAAAAGCATCTCAACACGCTCATCTGAATATTTGTGACATGTGTCATTCTTCTGAGAATTATTTTTCTGAGAGTTATTACAGTTGGCTAATTACAGAATTGATCTTAGACTACATCCCATGCCATGGATAATGAAATCCAAGCTGCATAAATGAAATTTGGGAAACTAGGAGCTGTCTGAAATGGAGTGCTTGCATTTGGATGGCAGATGTTGACTCTGAGGAAGTTTTGGAAAATAAAATGATGATCGTATTATATTGTTTTATCCATTGCTGCCTTGGGAAATGATAGTAAAAACGTCGTGAAGAACTGTCTAAAATATACTGTGACCCACGCTAGTGAAGTTAAGAAAGTCAGCTTAGGAAAGTGTAAAAACATTAGACAAGCAGAGAAAAACTATGAAGAGACACCTGTGTATTGATCTAGGCCTGCGTCTGGGGTCACAGGCGTGAAAACAATCTGTGTTCTTACTCCCATATCAGCCTACACACATGGGAAGGGGTTGCAAATGATTCCTTCGGAAGAGTATGCATTTGTTTTGCTTTGAAAATTTTTAGGTCCAGAAAGCTGCGTTCTCTTGCCCTATTTTAGTTCTAAGTAAATAAAGAATAAACTGTCCTAGAACATTTGCATGATCTAGCATTAACACATTGTGCAGAGCATGAAAATAAATCAGAAGTCCAAGTCCTTGAACAATGAATACTATTGACTATAACCAATTTTCTCCCCAGAACTCAGATTTATAAATTATGTTTTAAAATGGTTTTCCTTTGATGTATCTACTGCTTTGTGTTTCTCTGTTGTGATAGTTCAGTCTTTGCCCTTTAACTCATCTTATATATTTACAATTAGCAAGTAACATTTGTTGATTCTTAGAACCTTGTGAAATGAGAAGGTGCCATCCTTTCAGAGGCTCATATTTATTAAAATTTTTAGCTTTCTAAACTTACAACCAAGTGTCTTTGAGTTGGGGATAAGCCAAGAGAAAGGTTTCCTTATTTCTAGATTTTAGGCTGCATCGTTTCCTATTTTGAAGAGTACCATTCATCACCAGTGGATCTTGACGGGACATCGATAAAACCTAAATGGTTTAGGTTAGAGTGGTGAATCTAAAAAGTCAAAGGAATCCAGGATCACGGCCGGGCATGGTGGCTCAAGCCTGTAATCCTAGCACTTTGGAAGGCCGAGACAGGTGGATCACTTGAGATCAGGAATTCAAGACCAGCCTGGCCAACAGTGAAACCCTGTCTCTACTAAACATACAAAAATTAGATGGGTGTGGTGGTGGGTGCCTGTAGTCCCAACTACTTGGGAGGCTGAGGCAGGAAAATCACTTGAACCCCGGAGGTGGGGGTTGCAGTAAGCCAAGATCGTGCCACTGAGCTCCAGTCTGGGTGACAGAGCAAGGCTGTGCCTCAAAAATAAAAAAAATTAAAAAAAGGAATCCAGGATCGCAAAGCATAATGCAGCTTTCATGACAAATGATTTTAATTCATACATGACTTAGCATGAAGTTCTGCACCCAGTAAGTATTTGTTGACTAGCTATGTTGATTGATTGTTAATTTCTAATCTCCATTTCCCACCCCTCTATCCCCAGCTAATGTCTTATTCCAGCTTTCCTCCTTCACCTCATTTCTCTGGAAACTTTTCCATCTCTTTATTTGGTCCTCTCACACCCCCTGCTTTTTATTATTATTATTATTATCATTATTATTATTATTATTATTTCTTTTAAACTATCTGCAGTTTCCAGATACTGCCCGATGTGACAGAGGGAAAAAAATAAGTACCTAATTTTTGTTCTGCCTTTTGTTCCTCTAATCTCCTTCTAAGCTGTTCTGTCAGATCTTCTATTTAAGTCTTTCCTCTTTCATCTCTTACCATGAATTCTTTATGACAATCCTCTTTTGTGAGCCATGAATAGTCATGCCATTCATTCCCTTTCTAACAAGAATTTCACATTGGCCTTACATTCTACTTTGTAAGGCCACTGGCTTTATGCTGCCCACTTTGGGCATTGCAGGACCCTGGCGGCTGGGATAGTGAAGTGTCTCTGTATCCTCTGCCATGGACCCACATAGAAGGCAGCAGTCAGAAGCTCCCTGGGGGCTCAGATTGGGAGGTGTCTTGTTCATTGCTGCATCCCTGTCGTGCATGGTGCAGAGTAGGTGCTCAGTGAACATTGCTGGATCAATCCCAGCTATCGATTTACATTAGTTTCAGATAAGGTAATACAACTGTTAACCAAGTAGAAAAGTTTGGATTTGTTGCAAATCTATGGAAAATAGTTCAGTTGACTATATAGATTCTGATTATACCTCATTATGGATACTACCCATTATGGTAACAATCCAACTTAATCAGCTGATTTTAAAAGATGAAAACTTTTTTATTTTTTTGAGACAGGGTATCACTCTGTCACCCAGGCTGGAGTGCAGTGGTGCGATCTCCACTCATTGCAGTCTTGACCTCCCGGGCTCAAGTGATTCTCCCACCTCAGCCTCACCCCCAGTGGCTGGGTCTACAGGTGCAAGCCACCTGCTTATTTGTAGTTTATTTATAGAGATGAGGTTTCGCCAAGATGAAAACTTTTAAAAGCACACAGAAATTAAACAAAACTCTTGTGTTAACCAAACATTTAAGTATAAAGTAAATCTGTGCATCTTTTAAGAATTCTTTATTCTTAAGTACAAAACTGGATTAAAAGTATTTTTATGCAAGCTCCTTGAAGGTAGAGAATGTTGGAGAGAATGTTGTAGAGAAGGTGCAGAATGTTGTATCCCCATGGTCTATCACAGTGTTTAGCACATAATAGGTACTTACTAAGAATTTGGCAGCAGAGACAGGGTAGGCTATGACAACTAGTTATTTCTATTGAGGGCAACAAGTGATTGCTAGATAAATAGCAAAAGAAATTATCTTCTAGGCATGTGAACCTCCAAGTTTCTGTCACCCAGATTGGAGTGCAGAGTACAATGGTGCATTCTCTGCTCACTGCAATTTTCACCTCCCGGGCTCAAGCAATTCTCCTACCTGAGACCTCCAAGTAGATGGGACTACAGGCACATGCCACTACTCCTGGCTAATTTTTGTGTTATTTGTACAGACGGAGTTTCACCATTTTGCCCAGGCTGGTCTTGAACTCCTG